ATTCTCTTTTTGTAGACAGATATCATCCCCAAATTTTCTGATGTAGTTAATTTTAACTACTGTGTCTGGCTGAATTTGAGAAAAAGCTCAATATTGTTACCTTCGGAGATCAATTCATATTTCTGAATATTTCAAGGAATTATAGCACAACTTACATTACTGAGGATTTTGACCCATTTGAGTTTACTGATGTATGGTAACCTTTTACTTCTAATAAAAAGATTTCTTCATTTTTAACATTCATTCAATTTCTGATCTGAGAGTTCTCTGATACACAGTAAGTTGTGGCTTCTTCAAGAAGGTTTTACCACAGTTCCCACACTTCCTTGTGAGTGCTCTAATGTAAAACATGAAATGATTACTCTGAAAACATTTTTCTACACCATTTCCATTTATAGAAGTTATTCCTGTGTTCTCTGATATACAGTAAGGACTGACTTACATTAGATGTAAAATTTTCTATTGGTACATTGACATTCACAGGCTTTTCCTTTTGTGAAGTCTTTGATGTACATTAAGGGCTGACTTATAAATGAAAGACTTTCTATTCTCCCTACATTCATGAAGTTTCTCTGCAGTGTGACTTTTCAGATGCTTATGAAATATAGTTTCTAGGAGAAAAAATTCCTATATTCTTCATCTTCATAAGGGTTAACTTCTATGGGAGTCCTGATGTACAATGAGCCCTGCCTTCCAGTAGTAAAATGTTGCCTACATTGTTTCTTTCCAGTGTGAGTACTCAGATGTACAGGAAGATGTGACTTTTGGGGAAAAGTTGTATTAATTCTTCACAATCATAGGGTTTCTCTTCTGTGTTGAGTTCTCTGATGTACAGTGAGGTGTGCCCTCTGGGAGAACTTTCTTCAACATTGCTCACATTCATAGGGTTTCTTTCCTGTATGAGTTCTTCTATGGACAGTGAGATGTGACTTCTGGGAGAACATTTTATTACATTGTTCACATTCATAGGATTTTTCTCCTGTGTGTGTTCTCCAATGCTTAGTGAGATATGACTTGCAGGAGAACATTTTCCCACATTGTTCACATTCATAGGGTTTCTCTCCTGTGTGAGTTTTCTTATGTACAGTGATGTACCCCTTGCTGGAGAATCTTTTCCCACACTGTTCACATTCAAAGGCTTTTACTCCTGTGTGAGTTCTCTGATGCTCAGTGAGGTGAGACTTCTGGGAGAACTTTCTTCCACATTGTTCACATTCATAGGGCTTCTTTCCTGTATGAGTTCTACTATGGGCAGTGAGATATGACTTCTGGGAGAACATTTTATTACACTGTTTACATTCATAGGATTTTTCTCCTGTGTGTGTTCTCCAATGCCTAGTGAGATATGACCTGCAAGAGAACATTTTTCTACATTGTTCACATTCATAAGGTTTTTCTGCTGTGTGTGTTCTCCAATGCTTAGTGAGATATGACTTGCGGGAGAACATTTTCCCACATTGTTCACATTCATAGGGCTTCTCTCCTGTGTGAGTTTTCCTATGTACAGTGATGTACCCCTTGCTGGAGAATCTTTTCCCACACTGTTCACATTCAAAGGCTTTTTCTCCTGTGTGAGTTCTCTGATGCTCAGTGAGCTGTGATTTCCGGGAAAACATTTTCCTACATTGTTCACATTCATAGGGTTTCTCTCCTGTGTGAATTTTCCAATGTCTACTCAAGATTGGCTTGGAACTGAAAAATTTTCCACATTCTCCACATTCATAGGATTTCTCTCCAGTGTGAGTTCTCTGATGTAGAGTGAAGTGTGGCTTCTTGTAGAACATATTCCCACATATTTTATTTTCATAGGATTTCTCTTCTATATGACTCCTCTGATGAACAGTGAGGTCTGAATTCTGGGAAAACGTTTTCTTACATTGTTTATACTCATAGGGCTTCTCTCCTGTATAAGTTTTCAAATGGTCAGTAAGGGGTGTGTTCAGACACGACAAATTCATATAATGTTTTATGTACAAATTTTTTCTCCAGTAAAAGTTGTCTGATATATAACAATAGTTGAAAGCTTTGGTTATTTATACACATCATAAGGTTTTACATCTCTGTAATTTCTCTGGTTACCATAATTTCTGACCTCTGGAAAAGGGATTTTTTATGTTTTTTATAGGGTATTTTCTTTGTGTTCATTCACTGATAAAAAGCAAGATTTTAATTCTGCAATAAGAATTTCAGTTACAAAAAGAATGAATTACTCTTACTCTTTTTAGGAATAGGCATCTTCTACTCTGAGTTTAAAATCTATTGTAAAAATGATTTTAAAAATATCTTTTCATATTCTCTACATTTATACTGTGCATCTCATGTGTGTATCTTCCATTGAATGAGACACTTAGACTTTTTGTAAAATGATTTCTTCCACACCTGAACTATATACTAGTCAATAAGAACTGTCTTACCACATGCTCCTATGTTTCTTCCATTTATAAGCAGTCTCTCCCGTATTGATCCTCTTTGGTTGGAAAAACACAACCATTTCCATAAATTATATTTGAGTATTTATTTTACACTGTTCCTGTATATTTCAAATATTGGTACTGATCTATAATAAGAAATATGGTTCTCTCTCCTTAATATGTTACTGTAGCAATTTACAGTAGTATTTTTGAAAGGTAAGTATTTTACAGTAGTATTTTTTCACACTGTTACCCCAGGAAAACATTTCTATATTTTTCTAACCTCACCAGTACTAACATTTTGTTTTCCCCTCTCAATAATATATATGCTCTTTAAAAGAAAATGCATTGCACTAGTTCCCGAAAACTAAGCACTGACTAACCTGGGAGGCTCAAGGTGGAAAATTCTTCTAATGTACATGGATCTCCTCCTTGTTCCAACTTGAAGATCACTGCAGGTTTGGCAATGGATTGTCCTGTTAATGAAAAGCAGTGTGTAATTTTGCCAAACTACTCATGTATGTTATCTGAAGAGTAACAACAGTTCAGGTTTATCAGCTGTACAATAAAGGGGCTGATTGAAGCATTTTGTTAAAGAGGAGTGCCACTGACATCAACTACAGAATGAAATCTCACTCCTAAATAGTATTAAACATTATGAAATTCTTGAACACTAACTATAAAAGGAGACAAAAATGGATTCATTTCTTTAAGTCTGGAAAAATACAGCAGTTTCTAAAATTATAGCTCCATGGACACCGTGTCTGGCAGAGCACGGTCAGCACAGCAGCAGGTTCTCCCCAGTGACCACGCAGCCAGGAGATGTTTTTCAAGCCCCCAGGTCTACGACTCATACTGTGCAGTATGGCCATGTGGGATCCAGCTCACCTAACCACCAAGCCACAGGCTGGGCCACTTTTTCTCTTAATTAGACCTACACTGCTATGGTAGCAGTGGCATTTTGTATTCTCACTAGCAACCTGACAGCGCGACAGTTAACAGTTGCACGTCCACACCAGCAGTATGTTTGTATATGCTTGTTCCTCTATATATTTCTGTACTCTTTGTAAAGGGAGAAAAAAATAAAGTATAAACATCCTATCTCTATGCTAACTTATATATATTGCAAAATTTATTAGTTTTTTTTTTTTTTTTCTGCTTAAAACTCATGGTGGACACAGACACACAGAAATTAGAGTTCAATAACAACTAAGAAAACAGCCAACTTAATGGTAGGGACATGTTATTTAATGTTATGTACTAGAATTTAAACGGGCCTCAGATATCTCCAAATGTTTTTGCTGCAAGTGATAAAAGCATAATAAATATTCTGCTATGTCAAGGTGTTTATTATCTTATACAAACACATGGGTATAAATACATATCAGCATTAATGAATTAGATTAAGTAAGTTAGACACAAGTTTATGGTAACCAGTCTAAAAAAAAATAGAGATTTTTTTCTTTTTCTTTTTTTAATGTATTATCAATTTGTGCTTCAACTCAATGATGTTATGAACATGTATGCAAATGTTCTTATGAAAATGTAACTATAGAGACTGTCCTTTCCTGGCAGCAGGCACAAGGTCCACCTACAGGCCTCTGTCCAGCAAGGAATATTGAGGGAGGGTCATCTCTGACCCCTGCCCCACTTACAGACTCCCCTGCCCAAGACCCCACCTCCAAGGTAGGTAGCTAGAATTTTTCTATGGCTTTTTTTCTTTGAGCCCCTCTATTCTCTTGTTAATTCCTAACTCTGCCTCTTTCCACATACTGTCCTTTCCTGGCAGCAGGCACAAGGTCCACCTTCAGGCCTCTGATGAAATTTAACATGCGGCACATGATTTTTTCTTTATTTCTCTCTGTTGTCTTTCATTTCGTCTCATATTATCCTCTCCTCTTCATTTTTTACCCTGCCAGAGGGACTAAACAGGTCTAGAATCAGATATCTGAAATTCCCTAGTAAGGTAAGTGTCTGTGGAATCCTCCCTTGTACTGATCCACCTGTGAGAATGGAGATACTGCTTTTTAGATACCTCAGTAGAGTTCCCCTCTTGAGAGCATATTGGTAAAAACAACAGAAGTGAGACTTCAGCAAACATCTATTCCCAATGAAAAGGAAACATTCTTACTCCTAGTGGGAGAAATATTCCCCCAAGAGGTTTTCAAAAGGGAATACATCTTCCAATGGCTAGAAGTAGAAAAAGAGCCTCAGGTCTGAATAAACAAGGAAATACGTGGCCAACAAAGGAAAACTTCCCTCTATGTCTTGTAAATATGCTGAATGTTACCAAAATGACAGAAAAAAATTTTTGAACATTTATGGTGACCAAATTCTGTGAGTTCTAACAGAAAAAGCTAACTAGAGGAAATCACAAAGTCCTTCCAGGATGTGAAAGAAGAAATGGATACTCTGAGAAAGAATCAAGTGGAGCTATTAGAGATAAAGTCTATAATACAGGAAATCAATAACTCTCTGGAAAGTATTAACAGCTGATTAGACCATGCTGAAGATTGAATCTCTGATGCACAAGATAAAAATTCTGACCTACAAAAAAACACCAAAAAGATTGAAAAAGTAACAACAACACCAAAAAAAAACACATGAGGATAATATACGAGAAATACTAGTCTCCATTAGATGCCCAAACATCAGAATAATTGGCATCCCAGAAGGTGAAGAAATAGCGGTATGGAAAATCTATTACATGAAATCCTGGAAGAAAATTTCCCAAGTATAGAGAGGCACAAAACCATTCAGACCCAAGAAATACAAAGGACCTCAAAAAGAATCAATCCCAGAAGATCATCCACAAAGCACATCTTAGCCAGGCTGTCTAAGACCACAGATAAAGACATGATACTAAAATTGGCAAGAGAGAAATGAGAAGTAACTTACAAAGGCCATCCCATCAGGCTAACACTGGACCTCTCATCGGAAAAAAAATGCAAGCAAGGAAAGAATCGGAAGACGTATTAAAAGTGTTAACAGAGAAACAATTTCAACCAAGACTATTATATCCTGCAAGATTATCCTTCATATGGGAAAAAAAAAATTAAAATCTTCTCAAACAAAACCAGAAAGAATTTGCCAATACCAGACCAGCTCTTCAAGAAACTCTGAAAAAGTACTGTTCCAGGAAAACTAAAGAATCAACAGCCAAAAACAAAAAAATAAGAGACAACTAAGACGATGTCCAACTTAAATGTCAGTACAGATCCTGTAACATCCATAATAACATTGAATGTTAATGGTTAAAATTTTCCAATCAAGAGACACAGATTGGCTGAATGGATAAAACAACAGAAACCATCTATCTGTTGTCTACGGGAAACCCAACTCATGGAGAAAGACATACATAGACTGAAAGTGAAGGCTTGGAAAAAGGTTTTCCATGCAATTGGGAACCAAAAAAGAGCTGGAGTTGCAATACTAATTTCTGACAAAATAGTCTTTAAAACAAAAACCGTTCAAAGAGACAAAGAAGGGCACTATATCGTAGTAAAAAGCTCTATAGACCAAGAAGATATAACTCTTATAAATATCTCTGCACCTAACACAGGAACACCCAAATATGTGAAGGAAAGACTGTTAGATCTGAAAGGGGAGATAGACTGCAATACACTAATTGTTGGAGATCTTAACACCGCATTATCCCCTCTGGACAGATCATCTAAACAAAAAAATAGGTAAAGAAATAAAGAATCTAAACGATACCATGAATCAATTGGAGTTAACAAACATCAACAGAACTTTCCACCCAAAAACCATGAGATATAGTTTTTTCTCACCCCAACATGGAACTTCCTCGAAGATTGACCACATCATAGGAAACAAGGCAAGCCTCTACAGATTCAGAGGCACAGAAACTATACTCAGCATATCCTCTGACCATGATGGAATTAAACTTGATTTTAATTTAAGAGAAATCCTCAAAAATACCTAAAAACATGGAAACTAAATACCCTGCTCCTGAATGACTCCACTCCTCCCAAAAAAAAAAAGACAGAAATAAAAAGTTTCATGAAAGCCAATGACAATGAGGACACGAGTTTCCATAATCTTTGGGACACTGCCAAAGCAGTCATAAGAGGGAAGTTCATAGCAATTTGTGCACATAAGAGGAAGAGGGAAAGAAGGACAATAGATCACCTAACATCATGCCTCAGAGAATTGGAAAAGGAACAGCAAAAAAAATCCAAAAAATTCCAGGAGAAAGGAAATAATAAAGATCCAAGCAGAAATAAATGAAATAGAAAATTAACGTACTATACAGAAAGTAAATGAAAGTAAAAGCTGGTTCTTTGAAAGGATAAACAAAATTGATACACCACTATTGAGATTTATTAAGAAGTAGAGAGAAAGGAACCAGGTGAATCAAATCTGCAATGAGGCTGGTAACATAACAACAGACATAGTAGAAATTCAAAACATCATTAGAGGATACTTTGAACATCTATATGCTAAAAAACAAGACAATCTGGATGAGATGGACAAATTCCTGGACAAATATAATCTACCAAGAATGAGCCAAGAGGATATAGAAAGTCTGAATAGGCCCATAACAAGCCAGGAGATTGAATCAGTAATAAATAATCTCCCAACAAAGAAAAGCCCTGGCCCCGATGGATTCACCTCTGAATTCTACAAAACTTTCAAAGAAGAGTTAACTCCCATTCTGCTCAAGTTATTTCTAAAGCCCCAAGAGGGTGAATCTCTCCCTAATTCATTCTATGAAGCCTCTATCACCCTCATCCTTAAAACAGATAAGGACAGGATAAGGAAAAATATATATATACCATTATCTCTGATGAACATAGATGCAAAGATTCTCAACAAGATATTAGGAAATAGTATTCAACAACTTATAAAAAAGATCATACACCATGATCAGGTAGACTTTATTCCAGGAATGCAAGGTTGGTTCAACATACGCAAAACCAAAATGTAATACATCATATCAACAGGAACAAAGATCAAAACCATATGGTCATATCAATTGATGAAGAAAAAGCATTCGATAAGATACAACATCCCTTCATGATCAAAACTCTCAGCAAAATCAGCATAGAAGGGCCATTTCTCAATACAATAAAAGCCATCTATGAAAAACGCATAGTGAACATCATCCTGAATGGAGAAAAGCTGAAAGCTTTCCCACGAAACACAGGAAACAAAACAAGGATGCCCACTTTCTCCACTCCATTTTAATATAGTACTGGAAGTCCTCGCTAAGGCAATCAGAAAAGAGGAAAAAATAAAGGGCATTTGAATGGGAAAAGAAGAGGTGAAACTTTCTCTGTTTGCAGATGACATGATTGAATACATAAAAGACTCAATGATCTCCATGGAAAAATTACTGGAAGTAATTCATGATTACAGTAAAGTTGCAGGATATAAAATCAATAAACAGAAATTGATAGAATTTCTATATACAAATACCAAGCAGACTGAGATAGAACTGAAAAAAGTTATT